CTAGAAACCATTTTCAGGCATGTGAGGAAGATGATCAGGAGTAGTCAATATGGCTTCACCAAGTGGAAGTCATGTTTGGCCAAACTGATAAACTTCCATGATGAAATGATTGGCCTAGTAGATAAGAGGGGAGTAGATGATATTGTCTACCTGGACTTCAGGTAGGCCTTTGACACTGTCTTTCATAAGATCTTCACAAACTAGCTCCTGATGTATGGGCTGGATGAGCAGTGAGGTGGATTGGAAATTGGCTGAATGGCTGGGCCCAGAGGACAATGATCAGTGGTGTTGTAATAAGCACAGCCCGCCCTAGGCAGGGGCCGGCGCTCGGAAGATCTGGCGATGTAACGGAAAGCTCAGGCCGCCCACGAGGGGCGCTGTGGGCAATGCTAAGCACAGATAAGCAATCGCAGCGACGCCATAAACGCCATTTGCAGCATCCTCCACATTGGAGCCTGTGTCTCAATGGCCCCCAACGGCAGAGGCTGAGTAAGCCACGATGCAGGGTCTGAGTGTTGGTGACAAGACAGTGGCACAGTCTAGCTGGAGGCCAGTGACTAGTGGTGTACCCCAGGCATCAGTACTGAGTTTGCTCCTGTGTAACATCTTCATTAATGATCTGGATGATGGGGCAGAGCCTACTCTCAGGAAGTCTGCAGATGACACCAGACGACACAACTGGTTGAGCAGGGGGGTTAGACCACATGACTTCCAGAAGTCCCCTTCAACAACAACTAGCCCTCGCTTCTGAGATACATTCCTCAACTCATTTAAAAATTTTAAAAATTACATCATTTCAGAATAACTGGTATAAAGAACCATGCACAGAAGTATCATAAGTGGTCTAAACAAAAACTCCAAGCAGACTTAAGATAATCTTTCATAATGCAGAAAAGAAAAAAACAAACAAACAAAAAAACCAAAAAACAAACAAACCAACAAAACCAGTCAGCTCAAACTGGTAACAGAACAGATAAACAGTACAACACAAACTATCTTACAACAATGACTACCAGCCTCTGCTTCAAGCTGGCTGGACACAGGCTGCTCTGATTGCTTGGTTCTGGATGTCAGGAAACTTAAGTTAGAAATTATTTACATTATAGATTCATACATACACACACATTAATACATTTTCATTAGTTACTTATTTTTAAGGGAAAACATGATCCTAAATTGACTCACTGTTACAATACATGAATAGGGAAAGGTGACTGGAGCCCTCTGATTTACGTAGGAAGATGAACTATTAACTCAACAGTATACCCATGTTTCAATACTCTGAATTTCACCTGCAATTACAGGAAAGAGAAGCAAAAAGAACCCTCTGGCCAAGTTCAAATGTCAAGATTTTAGTCTTCTTTACACAGGGCTTCATTTTTCCCCCTACAGGAATACCTGAGATACTCAAACATAGAATCTTTTTATTGCTTTCAGGGCATGCACAATCACATCCACAGACTCACATAAAAATGTCAAAGTTACAGAGAAAGTCAGCATTGCTTTTGAGCACATAATATCCCTGAGTGATGGAAAGGAAGAAGAGTTCCTACAAATAGTGTGAGCATGCAGATGAACAACTTTGTCCCTGTGACTACTAAAGTAATAAACAGTGTGCCTTTCTTAAAAACAATGGAAAAGGGGAAGATGCTCCATCCCTTGAGCCAACATTTATAACATGGCGCTGTCTTTCACTGTCATTCCTGAAAAAGTCCTACAGTATGTATACAGCCACAAGAAACTTGTTACCAGTACAGTCATGTCAACCACAACTTGCCATCACCCTGCCATAGAACACTGTTCAGTAACAGTATTGCATAGGTCTTCTGCAAAAAGAATTGTGAGAGCTGCTAGTCCTCCCAGGCAGCAGTATTTTAATTTGAAATAGGTCTTATGACATACTGAGGAGTTACAGCACTATCTTGCAAGATGCCTGAAAGGTACAGAATCAGATACGCAGATGAATCCCTGTTGACAGAACAGCAACTCAGAGAGACAAAAAGAACACATCATGTTGTCTTCTATATCAAATATGCACCAAAAAGGTATTCAGTATCTTTTGAGAGAGATCAGATGCAAAATGCCTCTGGGCTGTCATCACTACCAACTTCCAAGTTGCATAATTTGTCTGTGAAGGATTTCATTATCATTAACCCAATTTATGTTACTTCTCAAGTTCAGGCTGATCACCACAAACAGCCACTGGAACAAGAGACTTGTGTCTCATAGAACTAAGAAAGCATGAAATGTATGAATTCAAACCTATTGCCATTAACTGCCTTGATTTAAAATACTTCAGATCTTCACCTGAACCCAGGACAAAGGGGTTGTAGCAGTCTTTCCCCTTCAGTGGTTACATGAGAATTCTGTAAGCTCTGAGTGGCTAAATGCTATATGCAAACCAAAACAGTTGAATATACTCCTAGGTTGTTATTTTGAAAGTCTAGACCAACCCAAGTTCTAACATTAATTGCTTCAGATAAACAACATTGGAATGATTTTATCCTTTTGTTTAAAACCTTCTTATATCACATGTTTACATGAATTGTCAAGAACTGCCAAATGCCAGGTAAGATAGCTACCCCTGCCTATGCCAACAGCTGTCACAAATACACACCCAATGTCAAATAAACCAGACAGTTACAACGATTAACAAACTATTTTATTTTTGTTTATAGATAAGAACACCCCATTGAAAGTAAAGAATAAAAATGTATTCCGCTACAACACTTCGAATGCTTGAATCTCAGGCTGTAGCACATGGTGAAATTCGGGTACTGTGACATTACAGTAATCCCCAGGCACGTGGGTGCACAGATAGCCTTGAACAAATATTTACCCATAGTAGTGCCATGTACAAAAATGTCATTCCATAAAGGCCAAACAGAAAATTTAAATATCTTTGTCTTTCTTATGCCAATGGCAATATAAAAAATTAAATCTGTTTTCAGTCAATTGCTTCCACTTAAATCATACGAGGTTTTTTTATGCTGAAGATCTCTAAAATTCAGCATAATAAAGCATGGAAGAAGTGAGGTATAAACAATATACTGAAGATGTGGGAAACGACGTTTTCCTCAATATATAACTAACTTCCATATGGTTACACCAACATCAAGTCAGTATTTTTCTAACAAAGAGAAAAATATTCTGTTTTTCCAGTCAGTGCTCTGACCTTTTCTTATTATAAAGAGCTTGCTTGTACTACTCATCTAAGCACACACGCACCACAGAAGATATGCAAAACAGATCAATATAGATAAACTTGAATGTCAAATGTCTAATGATGTAATAATAAAAACAATTCTCAAAGTCCAAATGACTTGCTAAATTAAAATTGCATTGCAGTCACTCAAACTAACAAAATACTTGGATACTTGTAAGCAACAAAATTTATTAATTTGCAGCAGTATCTCTGCTGAAACCTGAGGAGTTTCAGACTATAGGTAAAGCAAGGCATTTAAGAAAAGGAATTTGTAAAAAATGCATTTATACTATACATTTTCATATCAAAAGGCAGTAAGAAATATAATAAAATCTACTATTTTTAGACTACACCTTCCCTAGCAAATAGTTTTTATCACTTGAACATCACATACAGTACATTCAGCTTCCTACACAGAAAGTATATTTTCTTGTCCCTGATGTATATTACAATTGGCAGCGAAAATAAACTGCTTTATCATCACTACTCATTCTTGCAGCTTATACAAACAGCACCAATTTTACCCAAAAAAGGCTTATTGGTTACATAGTAGCACTTCCTTATAGGAAATACAAGCCCAAAACAGGGGACTCAAATGTGTCTTTCAAGAAATATACCAGAATATTATGGCTCAGAGTTAAGGGATGAATGACCAAGAGTATTGCATAGTACAGGGATCTCGCCTGTATGAACAAACCCACTCTTTGATTGTTTGTCACCTTCTGACTCCAAGAATGGACAACAAAATAAACAGGTGCTAATGAATACTAAAGTAGTACACAACTAAATTTACTGGTAAAAAAACAAACAAACAAACAAAACAAACCAGGAAATTGTACAGTTCTCTCTGGCACAGTGCAAAGTACACATTAAAAAACTGAATACATATGTACAGTGTGTATGTATATTTATATATATAGTATGGATTTCCCTGACACATACACGTGTATATATAACAAGCATGAACACGCAAATCCATGCCAAACTGAGCAAAAAGATGGAATGTTTAAAATGTGGATGCGTTGTTCCAGTTAAACCAGTCTGTCCCAGAAATGGCTGTTCACATGGCCAATACACCCTTCCCTGAAACAGAAATATTTATTGCCTACATAACTGACAACATAGCATACATTTGTCCTCATAACTTACCAAAGGACTGATAATCACACTTTATAAAAGCTTATATTTGTATTAAGCCCTTTCTTCCACAACCCCACCCTCCTCCCCACACCTCCATTCTCCATGACCAACTCTCATGGCTATTCCCTTTGTGAAAATCTAGGAAGAATAATATACTAGAGTATTACTCTGCTCAAGGACCAGATGCAGTATTCACTACAGAGATGAGATCTTCTATTTTAAATTTTTCTTGCGATATAAAAGCTTACAGCCACCCTTGTAAAAATTATGACCACCTGATGCTGGTTTGTTTTATTATTTTCCTTTGGGATTCAGCTGTTTTGGTTCTGAATATGAACACATTGGCTGAAGTCAGTAAGAGAGAACGTGCTTTTCAGGATTCAGAGAGCACTGTTACCCAACCTGCCCACTCCCAGTATGATCAACTGTTCTTCCCTGCAGAGTTTCTGAAATAGCCCACGAACCACTAGACTGTAATGCAGATTTTTCCCCGCCTCCTCTTTAACCTGAGTTTCTTTTTTACGTTTTGAGAGCACTTTCAAAAAATAAAGATGCTCTGTAACAGTAAAACAGTTTCAAATAAAGGCGATGGCTGTGAACCTGAGAGCTCAGTGTGACACAAACACACGTCTGTGGTATCCCCACTGGCTAGTACTTTCCTTGTTTAAGTCTTTCAATGTGGTAGCACAACTTTAGGGCAGGTCCCAGCTTCAGTCCCATATATTTCATTATCATATCACTCCTCAGTAAGAGTAGTGCCTTCCCATCAATTTCCTGCAGAAGGAGGAGAATGAACACAACATCATACAACTATTTTAACAAGTTGCATGGTAAAACTGGAAAGTACATTGTATTTGTTTATACTGTAGTAAACATTTATCTACTATATATAGAACAGTAACTTAGCATAATGTGATATTTATAGATGGCCACTGAAATGCAATTTGCTTTAGTATTTTCTAAATGCATGATTAAAATATTTAACATCCTACTAGTAAGTAAAAGAATGTAAAAAAAAAAGAAAGAAAATGTAAAAAAAAAAAAAAGTAAAAGCCCTCAAATACTAGGTACCAGTTGGGAAAAAAAGTGAATGGGTCAAGGGGGTTGTGGGGGGGGGGAAGAAGGAAAAGGACTGCAAAGGAAAGTCTGTGCAGTCAGAGATTAAATGATCCAAGCACTGAGGCCTTGCACTGAACCTTGAACACAGCTGTGGGAGGATTCTGGCATGCGCATGAGAATGGTCACACAGAGGAAGGGGGTTACAGACCATCTAAATCTGGGAAATAAGACAGATCTATGTCCAGGTTAAACCAGACAGATTGTTAGGATCAAGACCAAGGACAACTTAGGTTTCAACTGCCTGGTTGAGAAGCTGCTGAAATGTGACAGTCCTATGCTCTTAGTAGCATTACATACTGTAGACAGGCAATGAGTTCCTTAAAACATCATTAAGAAACCCACTATCTTTCTAATTTATTTTTTTTTTAAACATAAACCTTACAAAACAGGTAACTTTCATTATTGTTATACAACTAAGAATAAAACATAAGACAGGAAGATCTATTAAAATTTATTTTGAGTTTTCCTTCCAATCCAGCTTACTCTGAAACTTAACTGTTAGCAGGAGCTGCTGCAGAACAAGGGTGAAACACTACTAAAGAAAAAGCCACCCTCTTTTTGGAGGGCTATATATACAATGCAATAAGACAGCAGCTCTTTGCTGAGCAACCTACCTTAGAAAAGCACAGCGAGAAGAAGAAGGGAGAGGAAAAAGGGCACAGAGAAACTGACACAGTTTATCTCTTTAAATACAATACGAGTTAGATCTTATGAAACCCTACACATTGTTTTTCAAACCAGATGAATTCAACACTTCAGCTGATTCTCTGAATTTTATTATTAGTGATCACATGTGAAGCTAATGAGGCGTAACAGCATCTCTACTTTGGGATAATCAGTCTCCAAAACAAACTGTCTTAGACAGGTGTCATCTAGATAGGGCAAATGCCCCATACTGTACATGAGAATGCCATCTTCTCTAGAGGTGCCCAGGACAACCAGGGTAAACTTCAATCAGTGTTGGTAATTAGAATTTGGACACTTCTAGTAGTAGAGTCATTCCATGGAATGGAAAACGGTGGGTATTTAGTCTAACAAGACTGGAACACAGAGAAAATACACTGAAGGAGTTTCAGGTGGAAATAAAATTTTCATCTTCCCTTTAATACGTGAGTCTAGTCTACCTTCAATTGCAAACAGAGCGACAGACATGGAATTCATATTTTAAGAGACTAACGTGACAAACAATCTACTAGAACAGAATGGATATGTGTCATACATGTCTCCTGAAGAGTTCTGCATGTGGAGCTAGTGCCTGTGGATCAGCTTCTTTCACAAAACGCATTACTTCCTCTATTGACCAGGTGGAAGGATCCTTATTCAATATTCTCGAAGGTTCCCTTTTTAGTGAATTCAGATCTGGTCCAGTTGTGGAACTTGCAGCTTTTAGTATAGAAATATTGTGAAAGGAAGAAGTATCATTAGTCTATACAAGGATAACACATTTCATTTTACATAAGACATTCTTAATATCAACATGCAGCTTTTGACATGCATTCCTTACAATATATTAAAGATACTTCATTTTCCTCCAAATAATATTGAACTGTTCCATTTGTCTTTAAATGACTTATATGACTCCAAATATTTACAGCAGCATAAACATGAGCACTATGACACACCTAGAAGGTTTAGCTTAAGTTGTACTTGGCTCCTGGATCCCAAGATGCCATTAATTGGGAATGTGGCAAAGGCGAGTTAAGCTGTGGAGACAGCATGAGGGACAGGAGGAAACCCCATCCCCACGTTTCAGCAACACAGTGATGGCTGGAAAGATGCTCAGGAAGACATCTGCATGTAACTAGCCATCCTCAGTCTGGCCTGCTGCGGAGTCCGTAACAGCACTGAGAGGAAGGGGTCCCCAGCCTGCACCGCAGTATTAGTCGTAACAGGCTTAACTTCTGCATTTGTGGTTATGTTAGCAAGCCTGACGTGCTTAGCAACAGCACATTTCATTCCACGACAAGCTTTTCTGTGGCACAGGACTCCTTTATTTCTAACCCTCGGACTCTGTCCCCTAGTAGAAGCAGTTAGACACTCAGGAAAGTTCAGTCATGGAGCATACCTTCAACTCGCCTCTGCGTTCGACCCCTACCGACTTCGTAGT